AATGCTTTTGTTTATTTGTTACCTGATATTTGTATTTTGGCAGTGTTTGGTTGCTCTGTGTTAGTTACGTTTGCAGTTTATTTTTCTAATACCTATATTCTTTATAGCTACTCTATTTTTATGTGTTTTCATGCTCTATCCTGCAATGTACTGTTGTTGTTGTCTTTCGTTGGGTCTGCTTGGTTCGGGATTTTTTATTAGTTACTTTTCATATCACGAGATGCTTTCATTATACATAATTTTTTTTGCTTTCTTAATTTGTTGCCGCCTAATTAGTGTTTGTTTTCGTTGCTGGTAGGTTACCAAAAACAATCTTTTGTCTACTTCATCATCTTTGCTCCCTTGCCAGCAAATCACCTTCTCTGTTTTTCATAGCTGCTGTTCAATGCTTGCATCAACCTTTGATTGCCTTACTTACCATAAACTGGTTAAATGCATATGCTCCCTTTTATTTGCTTCATTTATATCACCTTATATACAACAATATGCCATTACTGCTTCAATTCTTTTACAAGTTAATATTGAGATCCCTTATTAGGTTTTGCTTTTAACTTTTCTCTTGGGCTTACTTTCTTTCTGGCTTCGTGAAACTATTTTTTTTTTTATTTTGATGCTGCTGACTGCTTCAATTGTGTTAGGTCTGTTTTCCCTTAATTTTATGGCGGCTTTTAATGGGCGTTGACATTTGGCCTTTGTGTTATGTGCGTTTGTGGTTTTCTTTCCTTATAGTTGTTGTTGTTGTTGCTTTTTTTTTTTTTTTTTTTTTTTTAACAGTTTGTCTTATTCTGCATGCTCTCACACAGCACTGTGCACTTGGCCATTCATGTCGTTTTCTTCTGTAGCTGGTGAGTTTGCCTTTCTGTTATAGCTGGTTTTAATTTTAGCACATGCTTTAATTATATTATATGTTCTTCGGTTTCTTAGGTGCTTACGCATAATTATTGTTGATTATATTAGATTGTTATTTTTTCAATGCTGAAACAGCATATTCTCCCTTACCACCATGTCATATTTTCTGTTTTGCAAAGCTTTCATTTGATGCTTTCATGAACCTTTGCTAGGCTTACTTACGAACAATTAATTAGATATCTATGTCAACTTCAGTTGAACCATTGAGCATTATTTGTTCAATTTTGTTCTTTACTAGCTTCCTTTTCAACAATATGTTTAGATAGATATTTGTGTGTGAATTGGCTTACATGCAGCGACTCTTTATTATTCCTTACAACTTCCTTCTTACTAACGTTGCCCCAATTTATTATATTCGATTTTCACATCTTCACTTGAAATATTTATTTCTTGCAGCTCCCTCAAATTGTTCTTCACCCACCTTTTGTCGTTCACATTTGTTGTTGCAGTTTAGTTTGATGTGATCTTATGCCTACTATTCTATTGACTTTATACAATGACTATCTATCAAGAGAATGATTAGTTTTTATGTAGTGCCATCGAGTGACAAGCTTTTTATTCTTGTGTGTTTGACTTGGTTTTTTTAATTGGTACTTTTGAATCTCATTCTAATTTACTTTTCTTCTATTTCTTTTGTCTCCCTCTATTTTTGCCGTGCACTTTAACTGTGCTTTTTGCCTTTTTGTTTGCTATCCTTCGTACTTTGTTGAAATTCCATTAGTTTTCTCGCCACATGCCTTGAGATTTCAAAATATCAACTACTGCCATTGATAAAAGCTATTTTAATTAGCTTATGAAGCTCTATCGTGATTGTATCAAGCATACTTTTTATTTGCACTTTTGGACTTCAAAATATCAACTACTGCCATGCACTGATAATGTTGAGAAAAAGAAGTCTTGGAAAACAGTTAAAGCTTTATTCATCATTGTTTGCTTTTGGAAAAACAGCTCAGGTTTTGCTAATTTGGAACTTGATATAGTGGATAAATACCAGGTCATATAAAACACTTGCTTTTGTTGGCTAGCAAACTGTACATTTGTTGCATGCTTTTATTTTAGAAAAAACAAAGATGGTTGGCCAAGTTGATTTCGTAAGTAGTTCTCTCTGAACAACAGTGTTATGAAAAAAGAAAGCTTTGATTTTGTTTTGTTATTTAAATTAAGAAAATCCAAGCATAATAACTGTTTAGATACTTTTTATCTTTCTTTTTCAATAGTTTTTCGGAAAGTCTGATGATGAAAAATACAAAATAAACATCAATCTAAATACATCCAATTACATACAAATAAATAAATAAATAAAATAAAATGATTTGAAAATTAAACAAACAAATGAAAAGTTTAAATTGCCGCTTGCTGCCTACTGTGCAGGGCATTCATTCTCCGATTTTTTCACACTTAAAGCAAAGACACAAAAAATATTTGTTACAACAACTTCCTGATAAAAATGACCATGTTAATTGTTGCAAAAACTCCCGACATAAAAAAGTGCTATCAAGACCACCATTATGTAGACGCATGATATATATGTATATATCACACGAAAAAAAATTCATGTTTCCCACATTAAGGGGAAAAAAAACCATCACGCAGCGAAGCGCAAGGCACAATCTAGTGAGTAACTAAACCCAGCATGGCTTGACTTCCTTAGCATAGTCTCTGCCTTACCCTGCACTAATATGCCGCCGCTTGAGAAAAAGCACCAGGGCTTGAGTTTTTTTTTTTTTTTTTTAATGATGATTTTGAATAGCAATTTTTCTGTGTTTGCCAGGGGTAAATTTTTCATGTTTTGGACCACTACTAAACAGCATATATTTATTTAATTTGATCCCAATTGTCTTCTATTACTACTAAAGGTGTTCCTTCTTTCTTTTCTCTTAATTCTTACCCTATTCAAAACACTAAAAAGAAAATCTTCTCTCTTATCTGAATTTTTCTTATTTGACAACACAACATGCATTTTCATAAAAAATCAATAATTTATTAACTCTTATTATATTGTTTACATTATCAATTTATTAAGTTTTTCATTTTATATATTGATTGAATCTTGACAAGTCTCAATTTTCCTTTTTAAATAATATTTTATAATTAAAATATTAGATCAGTTGTCTTTCTATTTTTATTTTATGTGATTAAGGTATATATTGAAATATTAGATTCATTGGTTAGTAAAATTCTAATAATCTATTGACTTGAATTAAAATTGTATTATTAATCTTGAAATTTTGCGTAGTTATTGTGTTTGTAGTTGTAGATCCAAAAAAAAAAAAAACAAAAACAAAAGGAGTTGTAATAGTAGGAATGCGGGATTACAATTTACAAATAACTATTCTTCTTTCATTAATAATTATTAAAAAAAATATTTTTAATTATTTTAGTGATAATCATATTTAAATTAATATACTAGATTCTCAATTGTTTGTTTGTTTATAATAACGAGTTTTCTTGTTTATATTTTATAGGTTCTATATTATTAAAATGACTATTTTGAAATATATTCAACTTATTAGTAAAGCAGTCGGTGTTACTATGATCCTTAATGTTTTTAGATACGTATACTAATGAGCTTAGGGGGTGGTATACTAATGAGCTTAGGGGGTGGGCTTCGGTAGACCCGAGTGGTGGTTTATTTATATATTTTGTTTAAAAATTTGAATATTTTATTTGTATTTTAAGTGAATTTACAATTTGTTACGGATGGCACTTTAGAAAGTTGGTGGCCCTGTGGACGTTTGGTTCTGCCTTCGCCACTACCCATAGGGATCTTCAGCTAAGCTGTGGAGGATTGGCAAGGCAAACGCTGCCATCTTGCCGCTTCCAGTTTGGGCCAGGCCTAGAACATCCCGGCCTGAGAGGATTTTGGGGATGCAGTGGGATTGTAACTATTGTTGGGTTTTCCATGCCTAGTTCTTTGCAGGTTTGGATTGCCCATTCGGTAAGGCCAAGTTCGGAAAACGAAGTGGTTTCGGTGGTGGCAGAGTCGAGGTTATTAGGGTTTGAGCAGGTTTATATTTCAAGTTTTGGGATTCCAGGGTTTTCCTTGGGGTTTTGAACGTTTTGGAGTTTGGGGCGTTTAAGGGTTTTTGAAGGCTTAGAGAAGAGTGGGAAGTTTTTGTCTATTACATGTGTATTTTTGTTGCTGTTGCTCCATCTTGTCTTTCAGAGAGAGGTGTTTCTTACAGCAAAACGTCTACTAGTACTATGTATAGCCTTTTTGTTTTTTTCCTTTTTCTTTTCAACTTAAACAATTAGTCCTTAGGAAAGAGAAGAAAGGGTGATGCACAGTAAAAACGCTTATTCTTTTAGTTTGTTTGTTAATATGCAATTAGACGAGGACCCAATTATTATGTGTTATAGGCTGAGAACACTCTTCAATTCCATTGAATATTATGGACATGGCATGCATAGGCTTAATCAGCGCAACCCAATTCTCAATTAATGGACATACCGGTAGATTATGTATAAGGTGGTAGGGCTTGCTTCTCACTCTCAATATTCGTTATCATTCACGTACTAACCCCATGTTTACTTTAATATATATATATATATGGGGAAAAAAATCAAAGTAGTTGTTATCAAATTTTCTACAATAAAAAATAAAAAAAATAAGGATTTGGTGTGATTCATCTAATATTTTATGCCATTCGTTTTTATAATTTAAGGTAAAACAAATAAGATCTTTATTCTCTATATTGAAAAATTTATACCAAAGACTAAAAAGAATTATTTTTTGAAGTAAACATGTTATATTTTTCAAAACCACTTTGCCTCTATCATGGCATGCTGCTCCTATAAGCATGTTCTGTTAGGCCTTTATGGAAACCCCTTTATGGGTGATTTTTAACTGTTTTTCTTGTTTTATTAAATTAAAAATGTATTCTGCACTTATGATCGGATTTGAGTCGGTCATTTGCTACCACAGCAAATTAAATATAGCATAACAACTTCTATAATAATAAATAAATAAAATTATGATTTGTTATCTACACTTAATTAAACAAAAAGAATTAAGCTAAATAAGGGGGAAAAAAACACTAAACAAAACTTGTGATCTATGGCATTGAAGAGTTTTAAAATTTTATTGACTTCTAAACATAATTGAGAACATCATTGAAAATATAAACAAGGAACAAAGATAATGGATACAAGAGGTATGCCATGAATGATGTCCATAACGGGAAACTGGAGCGAAAGCTTACAGCAAGACACATTATAGCACATGCGATTAGCACAACCAGAACTTCAGCAGAGAATTCCCATGTCAATCCACGTGCGTAAATTAGGAATAGAAGAACAGAAAAGCCAAGAACATTGTTCATGAACACTCCACCATAAATCTGTATTATGATCCAATCAGGTTATATAAGTATTGCAATTAAACCATGTGCATCTTTTTTTTCTTATCAGATAATTAAAATGCTAATGATTATCATTATTATTAAACTACTCGGTTATACATATATATAGTAAGAATCAGTTGTGATATACTCATGTCTAACTATGGACTTGGATTGAGAACTCCATCTTCGTTAAATTTAATTAAATAGTTGAATTCAAATAGAATAATGGTTATCATTTGATGTGTCATAAAAAATAAAAATAAATCAACTCTTTATAAATTTGTTTTTGTCACTTAATCCAAGTCATTGAATTCCAGATTAATAATGAGATTTGGTACATGATCCGTCATGTCATCTTAATTAAGAATACAAGAGAATTCAAATCCGACTTGTGACGTAAACTTGCTAAAGGTTTGTTTAAAAATGAAAGACTTGAATCTTTTTTTCTAGATGAAAAATATTTTAAGTTTCGTATTCAAATGTACTACTTCTAATCTAATTTTATAAAACAAAAAATTATAATTTCATTCGCATACACATTTTTATAAATATTTGCAAACGTATTTTAATTTGACATTTCATTTTTTTTAAGTACATGGTCACTATTTTGTAAAATGAAAAATAAAGATTTTTAGTAAAAATTTAGAAAATAGAACCTTCTCTCTCTTATTTATACACATTTTATTTTTAAAGTAATACATTAAGATTGTTTTTATTTATTATTTTACCAAGTTTCTCTCTCTTGACACTTATTTAAATCAAATAAAAATAACATATAAAGATGACATAATTGCATCATCATAAATACAAAAACCTTTACTATAGATTATTTTCTCAATTTTTTTTTAATTAAAAAGATAACGTAAGAATTCCTTCTCAATTTTTCTTTAGCTACTTGCTGTCATAGAAGAGGTTCTTCTCAATTTCATATATATATATAATGTTTGAATATGCACGATAGAAGATATAAAATTCATTTATCGTTTAATTTTCATTTATTTTGTCATTGTTGTTTTCCATTTTCTAGAAGCTTTGACCTTAAAATTGGTGAAAAACAAAAATGAAGGCAAGTCTAACAAACCTCAGAAAATGTCAAGGAAGTTGTTCTAGACTTCTTACGACAGGCAGTCGTGATGGCTGAGGTGGCTGCTCTTGCGTTGGTTGCCAACGGAACTAAAACAAACGAGACAAAAAAAGATGGTATCCTTGCCTCCTTGGAGAAATTTTGAACACTATGTATCAGAGGTTCTGCAAGGACTGATAGCATTATAACTCCAAGCACCATAGACATTACAGCCTTAAACCAAGCCCATGATGACTTGTCAACTAAATTTCTTTTGTCATCCTTCAATAACTTATCTGCTTCTTCCCATGTTCTCTGCACATTAATTCATTTTTTATAATATTATAATTAGTACCTAAAATACAATTAATTAGTTCAACAACAATTGACTTACTCGATAAATATCATCTTGGGACCGAGGAGTTCCATTTTCGGAAGTGTTAGTCAACCATGTTACGATTCCTTTGGCGAATTCTTTCTCATCGATCTTACCATCTCCACTTGTGTCAAGTACTTCCATAATTTTTTCAGTTGCTTCATCAACATCCCAAGAGATCTTTCCAATCTCCATCTTTTTTATTAGTTTTTTCAACTCATTTTTTGATATGCAATTATCTGAATCAAGATCTATTTCTTCAAACAACCTATAATTACAAAACACAATGTATGTGAAGAAAATAAGTTGAAGAATTAAATCACCATATGAAGAGCATGGGCAATTGATAACTCCTTATAATAATCTTTTTCCAATTTTTCATAGCTGTCATTTTTCAACTAATTAATATAAAGATTCAAGACTATGCCTGCAATGGAATTAATGCACTTAATATATACAATGATTTTTTTTCTTAATTAATGTGATTTTTTTTTCTATAGTTCATCGATGGTTTCATAGACTTACAATAAAGATAACGCTTATATCAATTACATATATAATAATTAAATAAATTAAAATAATGAGAGTCGAACTTAATTTACTAAAAAAGGCGCTTTGATAAGATACATAATTATTAAGTTATGTTTGCTTGTGTTATTTGATGTGATCTAATAACCTCTTCTAGTCTTTACTAATCAGTTGTTTGTGTTACGCTGCGGATCCGATAAAATAAAACCATTTTAAAATTTTATAATTATAAATTTTTATTTAATTAATTTTTCTAATGTTTTTCATAATTTTTCTATTAAAAAAACATAAATCATTCTTCTTAATGGATTGATTTTAAAATAAAAAATTATAATAATTTTAACTAAAAGATTAATCAAGAATTAAAAAAAATTTGAAGACATATTTTTCATAATATTGTATTTCAAAAAATAAAGTTATAATTAATGGATAGATTTTTATAAAAATAAAAAAATAAAAAAAAATTATTTAATGCTAACGAGACGATTAATTTTTAAAATGATCCGCGGAACACTACGGACGGATAGAATAAAATCATTAATTCAAAAAAAATACTTTAATATATTTATATAAGAATGTAAACAAAAAATAAAGTTACAATTAATGTATAGACTTGCATAAAATTTTATTTTTATTTAATGTTGGTGAGAAGATTATTTTTTTAAAGCATATGCATTTGATCTTTATATATTTATTTAAAAAATAATAATCAATAAAATTAGCATAAAAAACTCGTATTTGAATAATTGGTTGGTTCCTTTAAAAAACTATTTTAATTATTTTATTTCAAATAAATTGTTTCTATAGTGCTAAAAAAATATTCATAGTAAATAATTTGTATTATGTAAGAAAATTTATAGTTATTTTTTAATAAAACAATGATTCAATAGTTTTTTTATACGTCTTGACCATACATAGTGAATCGAGATAAATTATTTGAAATACATTTTTAACCTCTTAGAATAAAATAGTTATATATTTATGTATATGCAACTATGATTTAAAAATTCTAAGAATTCATGATATATATTATACCAATTTATTTTTTGAAAAAGAAAAAACAATCATGTTTTAAAATTTTATTGTAAAATTCAAATATTGAAAAAATAAATTATATTTATCAGTAAATAAAATTTTATATAAAAAATGTTAATTGGATGAGAATTTTCATAAAAAATGATAAATTCAAATAATGAAATTTAAATAATAAAAGTAATATAAACTGAAGTATTTATTAATTTTAAAATATAATATATATATATGCTGCATGGAAATGAAAGAAAAATGAAAGTTGAGGATTGAAAACAAATGTTACAACATGAGGGATGAAAATAGAAAAAAGTTTTAAATTTGTATATCAATGCCCAAAAACACACAAACAAACTACACACGTAAATTACTTAAATTGTCATCAAGTAAATAATAATTTCATGCATATGAAGAGCAAGTGAATAGGACTTTTAGGTATATGAACAGTTCGGATTCCAACACTACACTACGTACCGAACTAAACATATTTATTTCAATTGATAACATATACTATATTATCGGTTAATTAAAATATATTAAATTAAATATAAAAGATAAAATTTTATCTAATTTTATATTTTTTAATCAAAAATTTGTGTATATATATATATATATATATATATATATATATATATGTTTTGAATAAATTTTGAAGTAAAAAATATGATTTGTTCTTTCTTATGCATTTATTCTTAAATAAAAACCCATAATAAACACATTTTAATATAATTTTTTTAAAAACGAGTCTTAATATTTTTTTCATAACGTTGCATTGAATAAATATAATAAAAATTAATATAAAAATTTGTATGAAAATTAACAAATGAAGCTTTTTTACTAATGATAATATTATTATTTTTTAAATATATACATTTAATTTATATATATTTATTTACAAAATAATGAATAATATTAGTATACAAAATTGTATTTGAATTATTAGGCGGTTATTCTAAAATATTATTTCAATTATTTTATTTAAAAAATTAATTTTAAAATATTAAAAAAATAATAGCAAATTATTAGTATTGTGTGTAGATGCATATTGGATTTCTAATAAAATTAATGACTCTATTATTATTATTATTATACATTATGACCGTACTCAATTGATAAAAATGTATAACATAAATTGAAAAATATTTTTAAAATTAAATTATAAAATATATATTGAAGTTAATAGAGTGCAATGAAAAAAATAAAATTGATTTCGATAAAATTTGATTATATAAAGAATAAGTATTTTATTTTAAAATTTGATTATATAAGAATTAAGCAAATAAAAATAGGTATAAAAAAAAACTTATTCGAATCCATATATAGAGAAAATAAATCATATTTATTAATAAATACAATTATATAAAAATAATAATAAAAATTAACTGGTGAATTTTTATAATAAATTGAAAGATTAATTTTAAAGAATAAAAGTAGTATATATTTATTGTAAAATCTAAAAATATATTGTATATATTATATAATTGTCAGTTTATATAAAACAAAAGTAACGATTGATTTTTAAAAATTTTAACACTTAGTTAAATTAAAAAAAAAAAGAACATAAATTCATGAAAAAAAAATCAAAGGAAAAAACCAAAAAAAAAAAAAAAAAACACTATGTAGTGCATCAGCTAGATTATCTAGTATGCGTGAAATGTTTTCTCATTGAACCCCACCATATTGATTCCCAAAGCAATCTTCTGTAATAAAAAGCCAATCAAGGACTAATCCAATAATCCTTGTCATATATTCCTCTTGTATTATCTTTTTTTTTTAAAAAAAAAAAAATTAGAAGCTAAGAATTCAACCCGATCACCAACACTTGCTTTTTGGGCTATCAGACAAGTAGCATGGGCAATTTATAGAAGAAAGGAGAGAGCAAATTGAAAATTAAAAAAAAAAAAAAAAAACAAATCTAGCTACAGTAAGTGTATAATGATTTGTGAAGAGATGAACCGTAAACATCACTATTCAAATCCTCTATGATAATAATAATTATAATTATAATTATATATGGCTCAGTTAGATAAATACAAGTGAGTGGACAATGCAAAATATTCACATGATAATAGAGCTACCTAATCCTAGTGACCTTTATTTCCCCCTTCCTATAAGCTACTACATATAATGTTGTTCATTCACTATCAAGTCATAAAATTTTTACCATACCAAATTAAAACACGTGTCATCCAACCTAGAACTTTAGCTTTATGCTAAGCCTACATGTTTCTATAGATCTTTCTCTTGTTTAGTCGCACTCTAGGTTGTTTTTTTTTGTCACTCTCTTGGTGTATTACTTGTATACATGGCTGATCATCTAATAATAATAATAATAATAATAATAATAATAAAGAACGCTAATTAATTGTTACGGAATAAAATTTAAAAAATAATGTTACGAACCGTAGTCATGATTATCACGACTATTGTTTTTTTTTTAAAAAAAACAGATAACCTAATTAGTTTAAGTTAATAATAAAGAAGTGAGATATATGATTTATTTTTGTAACATTAGATTAGCCAAGTTTAATTGTTGACGTAGGTAGTAAGGAATATGAGTACACTAATCATACAATACCACATCTATGACTATATATACCAGTGTAGAAGAGGTTATGCTGATGCAATCATCTTTTTTTCTTTTAAGATTAATATATAATTAGTGATGTCCTCGAGCAATTGATCATAAGACTAGATTCACTTCCATAATTTGAGCAAAATTGTATGCTTACGTACGTACATAAGATGTGTTTTACGGATCAATGACTTTCTTGGGATTATGCATGCCAATATTTGTATGAAATAAAATAAAATAAAATAATAAATCACTGATGGCCTAACCTTCTAATAGTAAGTAAATCCGGAGCACCATCTTCTCTGATCAGGTTTCCTAAAGCATCGGTTTGTAGATGACTCACAATTTCTGATATGAGATTTTTCTTCATCTCATGTTCTTTTCTTTTATTTTCGATCCAAGGATGAAAAGCCTAAGCCAGACATTTAAAACTGTTAGAATAAATCAAATAAAAGATACTAATAAAAATTTAAAACCAACAATAATTTCCACTAGTCTATACTAGAGGAATTCCTTCTACATAATGCATGACAATTTTTTTGTTACCACAATCAAAAATATTTTGAAAATCATTCTAGTATAATAAAATTATATATTTTTATTGACTAAAAATTATTAAGCAATTAATTGATGCTATTTGGTATCAAATAACCATTTCAACTTAAAAGGTTAAACTATTAGATGAGATTTAAGAAATAATTATATTTTACTTTCTAACATATCCATTCAAATAAAAACTTTTTGAATTTGAAATTTGCACAAAAAAAAAAAAAACCCTATTCATTACCTATTAAAAAATTATGATATAAATATTTATCTAGTCCATACCTAGTTTATGTTAGTTTATCCGCCTATTTGGTACCTATTTAATATCCACTAAAAATAATTTGTTAAAAATATTTATTCTAGTTCCTATAATTTTCAAGAAAAGTTAATACTCATTAATTTATTTTGATTTTTTTTTTTTTTTTGTATTTTGGTCATTTCTTTATATTTTTTGTCCTCAAAGTTTTTGAAAAAAATATTTTAGTCCTTAATTTTTAAATTTTATGCAATTAGACTC